GGCTTGAACCCATGAACCGCAAGATCATGACCTGAGCCAAAGTCTGCCGCTTAATCAACCAAGCCACCCAGGTGCCACTTCTTGTGATTATTTTAATCAGAGTAAGACCATCACCAATTGGACAATTTCATGCAGAGTGTTCTATTCTCCCAGTTTTGCTGCCAATAACAATGATAATGATGATGATAACAAAACACTAACATATATTATTTGCCAGGTGCTATTTGAATAACTTTATGTGTGTGTGTGTGTGTGTGTGTGTGTGTGTGTGTGTGTGTTAACTAATTTAATTAATTATATATCTATGTGTATATGAATTTTCTTCAAATGCTGCCTTTCTGTTAATTCTGAATCCAGAGAATCCACGAAATGTCAGGACCTTTCTATCAAAAGCAATTACTTGGACCTAAATGTAAGACCTGAAACCAAAAACCTCCTAGAAGAAATCATAGGCAGTAACCTCTTTGACATCGGCCATAGCAACATTTTTCTAGATATGTCACCTTGGGAAAGGGAAACAAAAGAAATATTAAACTATTGGGACTTGATTAAAATAAACAAATTTTTCATAATAAAGGAAACTGTCAACAAAACTGTCACTGAACAAGCGAAGATATTTGTAAATGACATATCTGATAAGGGGTTAATATCCAAAATATATACAGAACTTGTAAAAGTTAGTACCAACAATTAAATAATCCAATTTAAAAATGGACAGTGAAGAGACATTTTTCCAAATAAGACATCTAGATGGTCAATAGTCACATGAAAAGATGCTCAACATCACTCATCATCAGGGAAATACAAATCAAAACCACAATGAGATATCACTTCCCACCTGTAAGAATGGCTAAAATCAACAACACAAGAAACAATAGGTGCTGGCGAGGATGCAGAGAAAGAAAAAGCAAATGCTGTTGCACTGTTGGTGAGAATGCAAGTTGGTACAGCCACTGTAGAAAACAGTATGGAGGTTCCTCAAAAAATCAAAAATAGAAATGCGATATGATCCAGGAATCCTACTGCTCGGGGTTTACCCAAAGGGGGGAAAAACAGTATTTCAAGAAGATATGCACCTCTATCTTTATAGCAACATTATTTACAATAACCAAGATATGGAAGCAACCAACCATTCATTGACAGATGAATGGGTAAATAAGATGTGATATATATTATCAGCATTAAAAAAGAAAGATCTTGCCATCTGTAACAACACAGATGGACCTGGAGGGTTATTATGCTAAGTGAAATAAGTCTGACAGAGAAAGACAAATACCATATAATTTCACTTACATGTGAAATCTAAAAAATAAAACAAATGAACAAACAAACCAAAACACAAAATCTTAAATACAGAGACCAAACTGGTGGTTGCCAGAGGGGGGGTGGGGTGGGGGCATGGGTAAAATGGATAAAGGGGAACAAGAGGTACAAACTTCCAGTTATAAAAGAAATAATTCAACTGTAATTACTTTCTCTTGTTCAGTGCTACCAAATAGAAATGTAATGCAAGCCACATTTATAATTTTTAACTTTCTATAAGCATATTAAGAAAAGGAAAAAGATTCTCAGGATCCATAACAGAAACCCATGGGGGAGGGGAAGGAAAAAAAAAGAGGTTAGAGTGGGAGAGAGCCAAAGCATAAGAGACTCTTAAAAGCTGAGAACAAACTGAGGGTTGATGGGAGGTGGGAGGGAGGGAAGGGTGGGTGATGGTATTGAGGAGGGCACCTTTTGGGATGAGCACTGGGTGTTGTATGGAAACCAATTTGACAATAAACTTCATATATTGAAAAAATTAAAAAAAAAAAGGAAAAAGAAACAGGTGAAATTGATCTCAACAATATATTTAACACACTATATCCAAAAGAGTACCACTTCAACATGTGATCAATATAAAATATTAGTGATATTTAAAATTTTCACACTACCTTCAAAATCTAGCACATATTTTACATTTATAGCACACTAAATTCTGACTAGTCAATTTCTACTACTGTATAGATGCACATTCAATCACCCTTAGAATTTCACACAGAATATTAGATTAGGAATTATTTGCCCATCATTTTTTGTACATATGACAAAACTGAGGTCCAAAGAGAAGTGAGATCTCTCATGAGCCCCAGACGTACAATCAAGAAAACTGAACTCAAACCCAAGCTCTGCCACTTCCTGGCTGAATGGCTTTAGACACTACACCTCACTGAGCCTTAGTGTCTTCATCTGTAAAAAATGGATAGTAACTTCTACTTTACAAGGTTCTGAGGTTCAAATGAGAACACACACCCCTCTTTGTAATGCCTGGCAAAGCACATACCACTACCAATTAAGTCACAGAGCCAACTAGCAGAAGTGCTGGGTGTATCAGTCTGGGCCCAGACAAAAGACAAAAACCACTACATAGAATTATTAAACTACAAACTTGTTAAACTAAAAAGAAAGTAACTATAATATATAAGGAAACTCTTTACAGTACCCTGAGGCTGAGAGAAGGCACACAAGGAAGGGGAAATCTGGGGTTCCAAACTCATTGGAAAAGGTATAATTTAAGCAGAGAAATTAGTTTAAATTGGTTTGGCCTGGTGGTCCACACTTACTAGGTAAGCAGGAGGCAACTCTCCAGAGCGCAGGTAGTACTATAGAGAGAATGGGAACCTTCTAGGTTGCAGATAAGCATTGCAGGACCAGCCTGCCTCAGGAGGAACCTCCTAGAATTCAAATAGGCTGTGTGGGAGCTGGCAGAGAAATCATGGAGCAGCAACTCTGTTATGGACCTTCAGTCAGCTGGTGGGATAGGTGGGGACCCTACAGAGGGAAGCTAGGGGACAACATGAGTGGGGAAGCTTTCAGGGAGAGACCTAAACTGAGAGACCAGCAGGAAAGTTATCACCAGGCCAGGTAGAGAGGCTTCAAGGTCACTGAGGGACTATGTGTTTTGGATGTGTGAATGGTTCAGAGCCCCACCAGATAGCTCACTCCCTCTCTACTGACGCCCACTTGCAGCAGCTGAAAACTTCAGGAGAGTCCCTTCTCCCTGCAATATCCCTCCAGCACCCTCTACTGAGAAAGCTTAACAGCATGTATAAAGGAGTGATGCTTAAAGGAATTCTGTCCAATTTCATAGAACAGGTATTAAGAAGTGCTGGAACTGAGAGGCAATAATTGGAAAACACACAGAGGTAGACTGAAAGCTGTATTTTCTAGTCTTTAGTTCAGTGCTCTATTACCCCAAATTTTACTACTAGGATAATTCTAGACAGACTGAAAAACAACACTCATACTGAGAGTTGGTCACTTTCCTTTTAGGTGTGCAAGTTGACCCTACCAGTAAAGAAGTAGGAGAAAAAGACTGATAGGAATATAGGAATTTAAGCTTTCTGAGTCTCTGTTTCTTCATTGGGATAATGAATATTATACATTCCCACCTCATAGATTTGCTGTAATAATTAAGGAAGACAGCATATGTAAAATCCTCAGCACAGGCCTGGGACATAGGAAATATATATTAGAAATTTGTTTCCCTCAGATGATATGGGGTCAACCAATGCAGCATATTTTTACTGTGCTTTTTCCTAATATCATTCAGGAGTGAAAGTAGACTGTGAAGATTCTCACATTGTCTATGCTTCTTCATACTCTTTATTCATTGTTATGTAACAACTGTCACATCACTTAGTGGTTAATTACTTCCATACCACACTTGTGATTTTAAAGGTTCTTCTCTCCTTCAATTATATACTTTCCCAATTAAGTATTTATGTTAATGAGATTCCAGGTAAACTGAATGGAATCCAGAATTACTGGGCTATCCAGATAACTCATTTAGCCTTGATGTCAGTCACTCAAATAATGCCCATGTCAATCTGACTGATGATATCCAGCTATGGTATCACAGCCACTTAGTCTCCTCTGTTTTCCTACTTCCATATCTTCAATCCAAACTGCTTGTCACAATATTCTAGATAATAACCAGAGGGTGTGTTCTTAGTCCTTTTTAGGACTACATGCTTGGTCAAGATGCTACATTTAGTTCTGGAAGACTATTTAGGTTACATGGCATACATATTGGAGTTCAGAAAATAGGTCTACACCTAGCTGAAAAAGAATAAATTTGACAATTTTTCATATCCCTTTATGAAACACTGGGGAATCAGATCCATGAGTAGTCAAGCTGGAAATAATCTCAGATTATCTGGCAAGGTGCTTCCAGCAGAAATTTCTACAATGATGGAATGTTCTATATCTGTGCAATCCAATATAGTAGCTACTAGCCACATGTGGGTACTGACTACTTGAAATGTGACTAGCATGACTGAGAAACTGAGTTGTTAATTTTAATCTATTTATATAGCTATAGCTATAATATTGGACAGCAAAGATCTACATAGTATGGCTTAATGGAAAGAATGTGGGATTTGAAGCTAAAAAACCCTAAAGTCTAAATCCTGGTTACTGTCACTAACTATATAACTTTGATCAAGTTCTTTATCATGCCCAAACCTCAGTTGCCTCATTTGTAAAATGAGATACTACCAGAAACTCACACAATTGTTGTAATTACAGAATTAATGTAAAGCATGAAGCCCAATGCTTAGCAAACATAATAGTAATTACCCTTTAAATAATACTTGTTATTATTGAGCTCCTCATTTTCCAGATGGAGAAATGGAAGCTCCAAAACGAGAACTGACTTGTCAACAGTTGCACAGCTAGTTGGAAACATGACCAGGCACCAATTCAAGATTTTATCACTTTTTTTGAATGATTCTTATATATATGAACCCTCCTCGCCCCTAAAGAATGAAGGGTGGTAGCCCAAACAACTACTCAACTGCCGTAAAAAATATCTTATGTGGAGAAAATGTACCTTGGTGAAGCCTATTTGCTCCTTCCGAAAATTTTCCAGGGGTTTAATCAGCAAATCACTAGCATTGTGTACCTAGAAAAAAAAAAGAAAACATATAAAACAACTTTCAGATTAGAAAAGATCAGATTCAAGTTTCCTTGTTACTAAGGCATTTCACTGTAATACATCAGCCTGCAAAATGTAAATTGATTTGCTGGGTTTTTTTCCCCATTGTTGTTACTTTCCCCCCCATATTGGTCTCTTAAAACAAATGATTTGAGAGGAAATGAGAGAAGGAACACTAAGGGCATTTCTCTGTATTTTTACTGGCAGTCTGATCTGAGTTTTTAATCAATAAATATCTATAGTTATGTCCAGAAACAGATATGGGGGCCTGAAGTATATGTGGAAAAGAGAAGATAAAGGGAATGGAAAATGCACGAAAATACCAATTGCATCAAGTGCAAATAATTTCATGAGAGGGAAATGAGTTAGCAATAATAGCATCAAGATAAATTGTTTCCAGTCCTGCCAGTGTGTGTCATAAAACCAGAACATTTCCTTCAGAACTTGGAGTGTATTACAGCATCACAGAGAACATTGGACTAGGCCTTCAAATTACCTAACTATAGATGCTCCAAAGCTGATAAAAACAGCCTGCCCAAATACTAAAACATTGACATTAATATGGTTCTAGAGATATAAAAACCCCATTTACAAATTGGACCCCTTGCTTAGTGGTCAGGCAGAGATACACAAAGTTTTGTCTTCAATATTAACCTCTTGAAAAATTACACCTGTCCAAGGCAGCAAGTGGAGTTTGTTTTCTTCACTTGTGTGAACCAGCTGTATTTTAATGGAGGACCTAAAAGAATACATCTGAAGGGCTGGATTTTAGGATCCATTGCATTAATTTTGATATGTTATAAGACAAGAAAATGAGGGACTGCCTTCCTTGTCAAATGAGACATAAAGTGTCAGTAAGACAAGATATATATTCATACCAAAAATAGAAAACAGAGTAAAGAGCCAGTTTTGACCAGTCCTGTATTCTCCATATTAAGAAGCAGTTTTTAAACTACCCACCAAAATGCATGGCAAGTTGGGGCATTAGTACATATTTTTTAGCTATGTCCTGCAGGCACTTTGGGTCTCCTGTTTTGTGTCTAGGTATGATTCAAAGTTCAACTAAATGGGCAAACTCTCACCCAATCAAAGCTCTACCAGAAGCCCTAGCACCAAAAATAAAGACACCAGTGATTCTGCTTGATCGAAAACAAGAATTATTCTATTAAAAGTACTAGCACATCTCTTTTGCCCAACACACTCTACAGTTATGAATTGTGAATTGTGTGACATCAACTTTGTGTACCTACCTGGAAACAAATTATGTCATTGCTATCATAGATCCAATACAGAGAGCCATTTTTCTTCTTTCCTTTTGTGGAACTTTTAAAACATGGCTACAAATTTTGTGACACTTCTCCTATTGAGGTGAGGCCTCTGCCCCCTCTATCTTTAATGAGAGTGAGTTCATTACTTCTTTGAACCAATAGAATACAGCAGAAGTGACACAATGTGACTTCTCAGACTAAGTCATAAAAGGCCAGCAACTTCCACCTGGTTCTCTTGGAACACTCCCACCGGGGAGCCCTGAGCCACTCTCTAAGAAGTTAGACTGCACTGAGACTACCAAACTAGTGAGGCCAAACATACACATTCTGGTAAAAGTTATGTTCAGCCCAACCTTCCAGCCATCCCACTGAGGTGCAAGATGGGTAAGCAAAGCTGCTTTGGACTCTCCACATCAACCCACCTCCCAGGTGAACACCTCCATATGAAGCAGAAGAATCACCCAGCTGACCCCTGCCTGAATTCCTGAACCACAACATAATGAGATAAAAATAAATGGTTTTAGGTTAAGCCACTATGTTTTGAAATAGGTTTTTATGCAGCAATAGATAATTAGAAAAATTATTTCCACTTTCACCAAGGTAACACAAAAAAAGTGGTTACCTGGGACACACTGAAGAAGTTTGCTGTTGAATAAGAAGTGAACATGCCATTTCTAAGGAGAGTAATATGTGTCAAACCTCTATATGGATATTCAGCTGAGCCCTTGCATACACAGGCAACACAAGGATGGCACAGTACCAGTTTTCATGATTCAAAGGGGATTTTCTTGCATAAGCAGGTGTACCAGCAACTTCTCACACAGGGTCCATAAGACCACTGCTTTTTGTATGTTTGGCCCTAGGAAACTAGCATATGATTCACTGAAATTGGAGACCATAGATTTCCCTTAATCACATTGGCAATATTGCTCCCAGTCTCCTACAACACAAATAGATACTCTGAGCCACTTCCTTTTTTTGACACTCATTGGTAATTATACTACTTTCTGCCAGAAAACAGAGCTAGAGATATAGGAAATGGTCACACTGAAGCTTGGCTCTTTTTTTTTTTTCATTTTGTTTTATCCTTAAATCCCTTAGAAGTCCAGCATCTACTCAAAAAAAGCCCTTTTAATTAAATATGACCTTTATTCCCCTTTCTGATCACTGCATCCATTTCATAAATTCTCTAGGAGAAAAGCTCCTACCTTCTAACTCAGGGTAGAATACCCAGCATGATAACTGATATTCTAAACATCATAGGGAGTTTAACTAATCGGATTCTTATTGCATGAATCCCAAATTAACACTAGATAAAACATTTAGCAGATTAGAGATGGTACACAATCCAGCAGTGTAGGATTGTTTGTGAATCTTTTATTGTTAACTAACTACCAAAAAAAGGATTTGAAGATACACTGTTTAAAATAGCATGGTTCTCTTTAGGTCATTCTTGGCAGTCCTCAAAGACAGACCTTGCATATTGCTAATATGGTCCCCTTCAGAGTCAGAAAGGCACATAGGCAAGACTCCTATCCTTAATCATACAGGAAGTCTTTTATCCAGACTTTTCAAGGCCAACTTCTGAGGTTAATACAACATCCCACAGGGTACTATTTAAGAACACCACAGTTGGGAAATGCTTCCCCTCAATTCTTTCCTCCATAATTCCTTCAACAGTTTAAGTTCATTACAAGAATGACTAGACATTTGCAATTATCAGATGCTGGGGCTGTGAACTTCCTTCCTGTTCTTCTAAAGTTTTGTTTGGTCTCTTATAGAAAGGATAAAAAGCTGTTTAATACCTCAGATAACCCAGATTATCCATACTGGGGTAAGGAGTCCTTTTACCACAGTTCTAGGAAAAGGGAGAGGTGCAGTCAAACAATGAATTCCTGGCACGTTGTGAAAGGCCCTCATTGAGCTTAACCTTCACAGCATTCCTAGAATTAAACGGGAGTGGGGAGCTAAAAGTCAATACATGATTGAAAAGTTGTGGGTGCAAAAGGGCACAACAATGAAAGACAGAAGAAAATGAGTCATTCCTGTGGAAAAGATCCAGCAAGAAGGGTGAGAAAAACAATATCTCAAAAGATGAGTCCTACTTTAATATTTTAGAGCTTTATAATTGGGTAAATAAAAGAGATAAACAACTAGGGCTGAAGGAAGTACAGTTGAGCTTTCTAGTGGTATCTGAATGAAAAGGAGTTGAATGCCTTTGAGATCAACATTGGCAATAGTCCACAAACTCTTCAGGCAGAAGAAAACAGTTAGTAGAGTGTAGATTAGCTAGTGGGTGGATATCTACCAGACTCCAGAGAAGCTACCCATATTGGTCCCTCAGTATCCCTAGAAGCAATTCTCTTAAACTAAGAAAATTCCCAAGTCAAATTTCCACAAGCAGAATCTTGGGGGTAACAAAAGATAACTACAAACAAGACTTACTTAATAAGTGTTTTTTGCTACATATAGAACACTTCATTATATCATTTGGAGCTCTTACAACAACTGTGGGAGGTAGGGATTATTTTCCTCATTTTACATATGAAAAAAGAGAGACAGCAAAATACCATGATTAGTCTGAAATCAACAATTAGTGGCACTGCCATTATTGGAACCTAAGTCTCTACTTCCCCTACCTCCAAGCCCTGCAACCCCACTTCTCTAGGAGCCTAGATAAAATGATAGCACTATTCTGAAAAGCCAGTACCACACTGATGGGAAGGATGAGTAATGATATATTGAAGAACTCTGGCTATTGGATAAATGGACTTCACAAAACTGAACTGCCCACAGGAAGACAACTTATCAAGAAAGGCAAGATACACCTCTCTTTGCTCTCTACAAAGTTCCAACTTTACCCTCACACCCCTAATCAAAATAAATATTGACCAACTTAGGTACGTTCACATTAGGTACAAATAGGTCTGGGTTGGGGCCAAGGACTTCCATTTCTAACAATTTGCCAGGTGACATTAGTACTGCAGGTCTAGGGTCCACACAAAATGATTACTTTTTAAGCTGCTAAAATAGAGCTCACAAAAGAAGAAAATACTTAGGAACATATCTAATAAAATGCATACAAGAGCTATGTAAGAAACTCTGATAACAGAAATCAAAGAAGGGCTTAATAAATGGAAAGATAATCCATGTTCATAAATAAGAAAATACTTTTAAGATGTCAGTTTATCCCAACCTGTTCTATAGATTCAATGTAATCTTGATCAAATCCCAGCAATTCATTTGGTGGATGCTGAAAAAATGGTTGTAAAGTTCACACCTAACATTAAGTCTTACTACAAAGCTACAGGAATCAAAATAGAAGAAAGGGATTATATGAAATCTCTGTTTCTATAAAACTAAAACTGCTCTAAAAATAAGTATAAATAAAGGAAAGTTTTCACACAGATTTAAATAAAACAATTATATGTCAAATATAAATAAAACCCATATTATTATTTTTACAGACAGAGAAACAGATAAATAAATGGATAATATGTCTAAGAACACTAAAGGCCACAATTTCTTTGCACATGTTCAATAGCCTAGTTTAATGTCCTTTGAAACCCTTTCTCACTGATATGAAGAGGAATGGAGTTTCTACAATAATCTATCTCTAGCTAATGTTAAATTCCCAGGGTAAAAGCTTGAGACAGAATAACCAGATCTATTTCCTAAATATCTTTACTGTACTAAACAGCCATGAGACAAAATGGAAACAACAGAGTACCGATCCAATGAATAAGGTCATGGCCCAGTGTTAGAGACCTACCATCATCATCCTTTCATTTTCTACTTCATTGAGCAATTCAGCAAATTCTTTGAAGGATTCAGCTAGAAGGATAGAATAAAAGATAAGACAAATTAATCACAGTACTTGATAGGGAGGTGGGCATAGACCTGTGTGATATGAGGTAGGGGCCAGTGCTCTGAGCCTGCCTGGACACTAGAGGAAGGTACCAACCAAAGGCAAACAGAAGAATGTGTTCAGTGCCTGTTGAATATCTTTTTGTTTTCATTTTCTTTCTTCTTCTTTTTTCTTCCTTGCCAATCCCTACCAAAGAGATTTTTTTTTCCTTCAGTTTTACTGAAATATAATTGATATACATACCACACAAGTTTAAGGATAGGATCTATTCTCTTAGCAACTTTCAAAATACCACATAGCCATACTAATTATAATTATCATGTTGTACACTACATACTCAGTTCTTATTTATTTTATAACTGTAAGTTTGTACCCTTTGATTGCCTTCATACAATTAAAACAACCCCCACTTCTGGCAACCACAAGCCTGATTTCTTTTTCTATGAGTTTGTTTTTCAGGTTCCACATATAAGTGAGATCATACAGTATGATTTTGTCTGATTTATTTCACTTAGCATAATACCATAAAGGTCCATTCATGTTGTGACAAGTGGCAAAATATCCAACTATTTTATGCCTGAATAATATTCTAATACACATATATATGTCAATATACATATATATGTATATCATAACTTTTTAATCCATTCATCTATCAATGGTCATTTGTTTCCCATGTCTTAGCTATTACAAATAATACTGCAATGAACACAGGAGTGCAGATATCTCTTCAACATAGTGATTTCATTTCCTTTGGATATATACTCAGATGTGGAATTGCTGCATCATAAGGTAATTCTATTTTTAACATTTTGAGGGACCTCCAGTCTATTTTCCTGAGTGGTTGTACCAATTTACATTCCTATCAACAGTGTGCAAGGGTTCCCTTTTCTCCACATCCTCACCAGTATTTGTTATCTCTTGTCTTTTTGATGACAGTTATTCTAACCACAGTGATATCTCATTGTGGTTTTGAATTGCATTTCCCTTATGATTAGTGAAGTTAAGCAAGTTCCATGTACCTCTTGGGTATTTTAATATATTATTTGGAAAACTGTTGATTCAAATCGTTTGTTCATATTTAATTGAATTTTTTGGAGGTTGTTTGTTTTGTTATTGAGTTATATGAGTTGTTTATACGTTTTGGCTATTAGCCCTTTATCAGATATATGATTTGCAAATATTTTCTCCCATTCCATAGGTTCCCTTTACATTTTGTTGACTGTTTCTTTGGCTGTGCAAAAGAATTTTGGTTTGACATAGTCCCACTTGATTTTTTATGTTGTTGTGCTTTATGTGTCATATCAAAAAAAAATATTTGCCAAGACCCATATCAAGAAGCTTTTCCTATATGTTTTCTTCTAGGAATTTTATGGTTTCAGGTCTTACATTTAAGTCTTTAATCCATTTCAAGTTAACTTTTATGAATAGTGTAAGATCAAAATCATACTTTTCCATGTGAATATCCAGTTCTCCCAGCACCATTTATTGAAGAGACAGTCTTTTCCCTATTATATATTCTTGCCTCCTTTGTCTTAGATTAATGGACCATATAAATGCGGGTTTATTTCTGGGCTCTCTATTCTGTTCCACTGATCTATACGTCTGTTTCTGTGCCAGTACCATACTGTTTTGATTACAACTTTGTAATATAATTTGAAATCAGGGAGCATTAATGCCTCTAGCTTTGTTCTTCTTTCTCAAGACAAATTTTAGGATTATTTGTTGTAGTGTGTGAAAAATGCTATGATATTTGTTAGGGATTAAATTCAATCTATAGATTGCCTTGGGTAGTGTGGATATTTTAATAATATTAATTCTTCCAACCCATGAGAACTATATCTTTCCATTTATTTGTTTCATCTTCAACTTTTTCATCAATGTATTATACTTTTCACAGTATAAGTCTTTTAGCACCTTGGTTAAATTTATTCCTAAATACTTTGGTTATTATGCCCTTGCAAATGAAATCATTTTCTTTATTTCTTTCTCACATAATTTATTTTTTGTTTTTTTTTAAACTTATTATCCTCTTCACTCATTTCTTTCACCTCGTACCCCACTTTTTTTTTTTTTTGGTGAAGTCTTTAGGATTTTGTCTATTTAAAATCAAATAGAGGAGAGGGAAGATGGTGGCGTAGGAGGACACTGGGCTCACCGCGCGT